TATTTTAACAATGAACATGTACTCAAATAAGAAAGCCCAACTTTATGAAAAGCACTTTGCCTTACATTTTATACCAAAAACTAAAACATATAATTTATTAATTAAAGATGCAAATGACCTCTTCAAAGATTTAGTGGTAAAGGAGTTTCTATAAATGTACTAATGAGAAGAGAAAAACATAGTGGTCAGCTGGCTAGCTCCTTCACTAGCTAAGTGGCTCATTCCATATTATTAACATAACTAGAAACCCAGTGCATGAAATTCGTGCACTCGTAGCTGGGGGCTGGGGGGGGCGTGTGTCTCTCAGCCTGGCCTGCGCCCTCTAGCAACCCCCGACTGACCGTGGGGAGTGGGCCTAACTCGTCAGTTGGACAACCTTAGCACTGCCACAGCGTGAGCCCTGCTTCTGGCTGAGCAGCATTCCCCCTGTGGCAGCTCCCCCTGGTGGTCAGTGTGCATCATAGCGACTGCTCATTCTACTGCTTGGTCGATTTGCATATTACCCTTTTATTATATAGGATACTTCAAGCATGTCAAATTCATGGGCCCCAGGCTGCATGCAGCACACAATGAATATTTTTTCAGCCTAGCCAATATAACAATATGTAAGAAATATTTTAATAAAAATTTTTGTAACTTCATTTTTACAATATCCTGTTATTAATAACGAACTACAACGTTCGCTAATGACTGATTACTATAATTGTGTTGCATTTGTTTCCCTTATGCACCTTAAGCGCAGATGCACTATTTATCTCCACTAATACTAGCAGTGAATATTTTAGTAGCCGATTGCCCCATCATTAGTCTTGGACTGACAACTTGTTTGGTGTGCACAACAGGACATATTTCACTTTCGGAGAACAAGAAAAATAGGTTTATTTGCATTACATTTATTGGTTTGTGCAGTTATTCAGAGTCTGATAAGTTAATGTTCAAGAAAAAATATTAATTTTTATTAAAATGTTCTCTTATTTTATGTTAATGATTATTCATTTACTTCAGCCTTTTGTACTCAGCATGTCTCCATCGAAATAAACCTATATTTCTATGAGAATCAAAGTTTTTGTTTTTTTCGGGCCCACATAAACTTAAACCTTATTTGGCCCATGTTAACCTTTGAGTTTGACATGCTTGAAATACTTATTCAACAACAGAAATATTAATTAATGGAGTAAGATTTTCAAGTTGTCTATAAATGATCAACATTACACATTAAATATTTAGATCCCGAGAGCCTATTAAATTACTTTTAAATTTTAGAAAACAGGAGGAAAATGTTTTAGGTGCATCATTACCAAAGTCCTCCACTGGTATTACAAAATAAGCCATTTAAAACCATGATAACTTCTCATTCAAATGCTTTTATAGATAAAGAATGATGAAAAAGAAAAAAAAAGGCTATATGACATAATTTTTTAATACCCAATTGATTAACAGACATTTGTATTTAGTGAGGAGTCAATCAACATGCCAGCCTTTAGAAAATAATTTGTTAAAAAGCCACAATAAAATTCTCTAGAACAAGTTGTATTAAAAGCTTAATAATACAAGAATTTAAAGAATGTTAACAGAAAAACAACTAGATTGAGATTCAAAAAAATTGGAATTTTAGGCAAGCCCAATTTTCTAAGTAATACAGATTCCTTATCTATAAAATAAGACTATGGTAATATCTACTTAAAGATAAAGATTTAATTTAGAGCATTTATATTAAAATGATTTACAAAATGACCTCCAAACCAGGAGCTAACAGTTTGATTCCAAGTCAGGGCATATGCCCAGGTTGCTGGCTTGATCCCCAGTAGGGGGCATGCAGGAGGCAGCCGATGGATGGTTCTCTCCCATCATTGATGTTTCTATTTTTCTCTCCCTCTCTCTTCCTCTGAAATCAATAAAAATATATATTAAAAAATAGTAAAACATGCCGAAACCGGTTTGGCTCAGTGGTAGAGCGTCGGTCTGCGGACTGAAGGGTCCCAGGTTTTTTTTTTTTTTTTTTTTTTTTAAATATATTTTATTGATTTTGTACAGAGAGGAAGGGAGAGAGATAGAGAGTCAGAAACATCGATGAGAGAGAGTCATCGATCAGCTGCCTCTTGCACACCCCCCACTGGGGATATGCCCGCAACCAAGGTACATGCCCTTGACCGGAATCGAACCTGGGACCTTTCAGCCCCCAAGCCGACGCTCTATCCATTGAGCCAAGCCAGTCCCGGCGGGTCCCAGGTTTGATTCCGGTCAAGGGCATGTGCATTGGTTGCGGGCACATCCCCGGTAGGGGGTGTGCAAGAGGCAGCTGGTCGATGATTCTCTCTCATCGATGTTTGTAACTATCTATCCCTCTCTCTTCCTCTCTGTAAAAAATCAATAAAATATATATTTTTAAAAAATAGTAAAACATCACCCAAACTAAAGTCTCTTTCTGTCCTAATTTATCATTCCTTTGCTCTCTTCCACCTAACCCCATTCCCCTTTTCCTTTGGCTATCACTATGCTGTTGTCTGTCTCTCTAATATATTTAAGTGACTTGCCTCAAGATTATTTGCGTAGTAAGTTAATCCTCGGCTAGAACTATAGTTGTTAATATCTTATCAAGTTAGTAATATAAATTATATGTGTACAAAGCTTATTAAATTTTCAAAGATATCCTATATAGAAAGCTTGAAAATTCCTAATCAAGTAAAATATGAGTCATTAAAATAATTGTTTTAAGAGAATCTTAGCAATGAAAGATTAATTTTTTTAAGTTTGCATGTATCTTGAAGATTCATGCTTTTTAAGATTATCACTTAGAAAACTACTTTATAGACACAACTGAACATAATAATTACTAAATATATTTTGAATGAAAAATTACCAACAACTTCAAAGTGGAAAGAAATAACTTGAGAGATACCTATGTAAGAATTTCACTTATAATATAAATGAATAAAAAATATAAATAGAAATCAACTGAATAATGAAAACACCTAAAAGATGCTATAGCACCCTAGCTGGTTTTGCTCAACGGATAAGAGCGTCAGCCTGTGGACTAAAGGATCCTCGGGTTTGATTCCGGTTAAGGGCACGCATCTCGGTTGCAGGCTCCCAGCCCTGGTGGTATTATGTGGGAGGCCACTGATCAATGTGTCTCTTACATCGGTGTTTCTGTCTCTCCCTCTCCCTTCCACATTGTCTAAAAATCAATGGGAAAATACCCTCAAGTAAGGATTATTAAAATAATTTTTAAAAGATGCTATCTCATTCTTTCTAGCATAAAAGAAATCAGTGCTGGCCACAAAATCTGCATTGCCTTCCTTGCAATGACAATCAGAAAATCTGTGCCTCAGATAACCAAATTACCTCAGTGGAAAAACAAGAATACAAAACTAACGAGAATAAATTAGAAAAAAAGTTAATTGTAACATATAATAAACACTTGTTATTAAAATTTAATATATTTATATATTTTTATGTAATTACATTGAATATATAATTACATATATTCAATCTCTGTTAATTTTACCATATTAAAGAACATTTTTAAAAACATGAGGATGTAATGCAATTTTCAAGTGGTTTTGGTTACTACGAAAGGTTAATTTCAGTTTTGGCTTATCAAGACTAAATTGTCAATAAAATAAAATAAAAACAACCAGGAAGCTAACCAATATATCACTCTTCTAATTAAGAACAAAAACTCCAATTAGTTAGAAACATCAATGAGAGAGAAACATCGATCAGCTGCCTCTTGCACACTCTCTACTGGGGATGTTCCTGCAACCAGGGTACATGCCCTTGACATGAAGTGAACCCAGGACCTTTCAGTCTGCAAGCCAACACTCTATCCACTGAGCCAAACCGTTTTCGGCAACATCCTAATATTTTTATTTGATTCTTTTTTAAATAAAATATATTTTATTGACTCTTTATAGAGAGGAAGGGAAACAGATAAGTCAGAAACACTGACCAGTTGCCTCCTGCACACCTTCCATTGGGGATGTGCCCGCAACCAAGGTACATGCCCTTGACTGGAATCGAACCTGGGATCCTTCAGCTTGCAGACAGATGCTCCACCCACTAAGCCAAACCGGTTAGGACTATTTGATTCTTTATAAAGTGTTTAAACTCCTATGTTCAAGCTGCTCTCATTTCAAAAGTGATATAGACTTTTTAAATCAAACTCTCATTTTTTATTTTTTAATGGACCACTGAAGTAGTATAATATTAGGGTGAAAACCTATATGAAAGCCAGTCATGGATATAGATCTTCCTGGGACACCTGTTTTCTTCCTTTTAATCAGTGACAAATTTAAGACAAACTGTTTTCCTTGTATTTCTCCATTCATGGAGCTGGGGTGAATTTATTTCTAATTTACCCTTGAGCTGGGAGCAACTCTTTAGGATCCCAAATTTTCAGGGAGGTGTGTTACCTATAAGACATTACACCTTGGGAGGGCCTTACAATTTGTCTAGATTAGAAAAGATCCTTAAGGTTAAGTAGGCTTCAGTTGCTTTGCCGACTCTCTTGAATCCTAGTTTCATTTAATATCTGGTTTGTATTTCCCTTTTTGTTTTACATGGTCAGTCAAAAATTAGAAGCTAAAAAAATTATCCAACAATTTGAGTTGTTTTTAACAAGAGTGTTACTTAGTTTGAGTCCCAAGGTTCCATGATGCCAGCCAGAACTGAAAGCTGCATACTATTATCTCCCAATATTACTCTATTTTTTTATAGCATGTTACCTCTTTTGGTTTCTGCAATGGTTATTTCCTATAAAAATTTTAACTTTTGTACAAATAAAATATTTATCTATTGCTTGAAGACTGGTTATTTCCAAAGAGATAAAATATACTTACTCATAGGATAAAGCAAAAATTGATAACAAGAAAATTATTTTATATTTTAGTCAAGATGATAATTTGCTATAATTTATAACAATAACATATTAAATATAAATGAATGGAGATTATTTTATTTTAGTAATAACCCTTCTGCCTACAGAAATTCTTACTTACTTTGGAAGGAGAACCATCAGTAATTTTCACCAACTGCCAAAGAATCGAGTAATGGGAACACTGCAATGCCTGTACGACTATCTGTATCAAATAAAAAAATTCAAACAAATGAGATATAATTTACAATTGTACAATTTATATATTACAATATTTTTCATAGTTTATAGTCCAAAAGTTTTACAAAATTAAGGAGCATCTATAAAATAATATTTGGTTTAAAAAAAAAAAGAAAGAAAGAAATACATCATCTTAAGAGGCATAAATGTATAAAAATTTAAAATAATAACCATTTGGGAAAAAAAGACACTATTACCAAATGTTCACTGTCTGAACTCTGTTCTTAAAACAGATATTTATTCAGTTTCTAAGCCTATTGCTAGACACAGGGGCTTAAAAATAAACATATTCTCTCATCTCAGAGAAGAATCAACTGAAAAAGACAAATTAGTAACAATTATAATAATTTAATAATTGGTCTGATAAAAGCATACATACATAGGGAAATGTGTTGAGGGGAGAGAAGAGGCACTCACATATTAGCCAGGAATAGAAAGTGATAATGGTTAGGAAAAACATTCTAGAGAAGAAAAAAAATCACTAAATCTTTAAAGAAAGATACAAGTTTTAATCTGGTAATAAAAGGAAACATAAGTGAAGAAATAGAAATTTCAAAGGAAGCTTCTTTGATAAACTGTGAAAAGTTTCATAGAGTATAAGTGTAAGCATAAACTAAGACTAGATTAGCCCTGGCCGGGTAGCTCAGTTGGTTAAAAGTGTTGTCCAGATAGGCCATGGTTGCAGATTCCATCTCCAGTCAGAGAACTACAAGAAGCAACCAGTGAATGCATAAATAAGTGGAACAACAAATCGATGTCTGTGTCTTCATCTCTCTCCCCTATCTTCCTCCCCAACTCTTTCTCTAAAAATATAAATAAATAAATAAATAAATAAATAAATAAAAGCCAGAAAGAAGTCTAAATCAGTAGAAACCAAATCACAGAGGACCTTATTGGAGGGTAACGATCTGGCTAATGCTTATCTTAGAGTAATTAATAGTACCTCTTTTCACTTTTAAACTGATAAGAACAGATACTACACTTGATCTTAGCCAAAAGGCCGAGAAGCGATCCCTTTTCACTTTTAAAAGAACACTTATATGGACAATAATATAGTCATCTTACCATGACAAAGAAATCTGGATGAGATCCTCAAAATGCTTACCTTAACATAAAAGTTTTGAGAACATTACAGCAAATGTTTCCTATTTTATTCTGCTTAAACCCGAAGATATATCTATTAGTAACATTTAATCGCTATGGCAAGAATTCTCAAAGAAGGTGGCTATATTAAAGAATTATCATCTACTTTCTATGAAAGGCTTTTGATAATCCTGTGTGATTGCAAAAATCTTTAGCTTTCTGAAATGAGATAGAAAGAAGATTAATAAACACCCACCTGTTCTGGCATAGCTCCATGTTCAATTCCAGTCTTCAATAATCTGTAGCAATTACCAAACAGATCCCATTTTGTGAGATCATGAGCGCTAAAATAAACGAAATTTATTAATTTTATTCTAGTATGAATTTTAAATAAAGTGACTCAAAGTAAAATAATTTCATTTTCTTGTAGAGTTGAAAAAGAATCATAAAGGAAATATTCGAATGCTCATACTTAAGAAAGAAAAAAGAGGGAACTGAGAGGGGGAAATAAAGAGGTAGAGAGAGCTCAAGATGATATTAGGGCCTTGGGAGGGCCATGCACAAATTTCATGTTCCAGTCCTCTAGTATTAAAAGAATTCATTAAAAGAAATCAGTAATAACAAAACTTTACACATTCTAAAATAAAACAAAACTAACTATAATAATAAAAGCTTAATATGCTAATTAGACCGGATGCCCTTCTGGACGCAGCGGGCATGGGCCGAGGCAGAGGCTGGTAGCTGCTGCGATAGGTGGGCAGGGACCTGCAGCCACCTTGGTGGGCGGAGGCCAAGGCAGCTGTTGTGGCTGGGGGGGTGGGGGGGTGTGCTGAGGCCTTTGCACCAATTTCATGCATCAGACTTCTAGTACCATAATAAAAAACAAACAACCTTCACACATTTAAGTGAAGATTACTTCAACATGGTCAACCTAAGCTCATATTCCATAGTTCGTTCTCTCCTGAGATCACACAGAATTAAGCAAATGTATTTCAAAAAAGATTTGATAAAACCAGGGGAAAGAAAATATGACAAAGCCCAATAACTTTAGTGTAGTTATTTGCATGGGCTGAGGAGTTTTGAATGAGATAATGCTGGCATTTTAAATCATCATGAGCTCTACTACTAAAAATAGTAGATAATTGGCTGTCAACTTTTATTTTCATACATCTAAATATTTTAAAAATTAAGTTTGTGTCTCCATGAAATATCGAACAATGTATTGTATATAAAGAAAAAGCTTAGATTTTGGACAATGCTTTAAAATCTCAAGTATTTACTGATGTAGGCCTAAACCTAAAAATTCTTTTGACAACGAAGTTCTCTATTTTCCTTTCTTTAGAGAAGATAAGCATGTCTTACAATAAGGGACATGCAAATTACAATTTGAAAATGACACTTATTTCCTTGAACAAGCCTTTTGCCCTTCTTCAAATTCAACTGTTCTGTCTACATAAAACAAACAAGAACAATTCAGAAATAAAAACTCACAGAAATAACTTTCATGGCTTTCCCCAAAACATTTTTTAGTAAGACTTTAAAAAACTAGCCATTGATATACTTCAGAAATGCTAGTTTACAGAATAAACTCATCAAATTTGTTAAAAATACAATTAACTTAAACCTTTACAGCGTGCATTTATAAGGAATAAATCTTACTCCTTAAATAACGATCCTATATAATAAAAGCATAATATGCAAATTGACCAAACGGCCAAACGGGAATGACAATGACCATCAGGGACCACACTATGACTCCCACTGGCACCAGGCCAGCCAAGGCAGATGTGATGTGATTGGCCAGGGCCCGGTCATCACCCCATGATCGCCCTGCAGAGGGAGGCCCAGGCCACCAATCAGCGGGCTGCAGCAGATGGGCAGGGCCTCCCTCTGTGAGGGAGGCGTGGGTCTCGGGGGCCAGCAGCCAGGGGAGAGAAGGAAGGCCTACTCTTACACAAATTTCATGTACCAGTCCTCTAGTATTAAAATAAAACCCCATAATTTACCTGAAGAAAATTAGAATAATAAAGAAAAACTTTACAACACCTTGATATTTCTTTAAAATTTCCCACTGTTATATGGATGTTAAACATTACAAATTTGATCAGTCTGGTTTATGTTGACAAATCTACTTTCAATGAAATCACATACTTGTGAAAAGAGGTTAACCGCTTTAATGTAGAAAGCACGTTGTAAATATCATCATCATCAGCTTCTTCTCCCTATAAATAAAAAGTAGATATTACCTTATTACCACACCTTTATGTATCCTCAAATTCACCTGAAAGTTTAATACTTACTGCTTAAATAAAAATTGTTATTATTATATAAAAAATACATATTTACTGTTGGTAAATAACAAAACACAAATAAAAAAAATAAAAAAAATGAAAGATACCCCTAATCCCAACAGTGAGAGATAAATCACAAATAAAATATGATTAAATTTTTTTTAAATTTAAAATTAAAAGTAGGGGGATATAGTTTACTTGGATTAAGAAGATCATCAGCTTGGATATCAGAGCATAGAAAGCTGTGAGGTTTCAAGATTGCCTTATTCAGATTGGAGGGAAAAGACAGGATTTGATAATTACAGAAATAATTACAAAAACAACCAGTTAGAGAAGCTTCCTGCTATCTTGGGCATGCCACTAGTAATCAGCCATCCCTCATAAGCACATAATTTTAATTTTCTACGCATTAGCATATCATAAAGTAATATTAAAATGCAAATTAGATTCCAGGAATAGAAAATTAAAAAAAAAAATTTAAGAAAAGTCATTCCTTGTCCTGACGGCATGACTCAGTAGTTGAATGTTGACCAATGAACCAGGAGGTCATGATTCTATTCCTGATCAGGGCACATGCCTGGGCTATGGGCTTGATTCCCAGTAGGAGGTGTGCAAGAGGAAGCTGATAAATAATTATCTCTCATTAATGATGTTTTTATCTCTCTCTCCCTGCCTCTCTGATAACAATAAAAATAGTATTTAAAATGCATGAAGAGAGCATTAAAGAAAGAAAAGGAAAAAAAAAAAATAAGGGCCAGGACTTAAGGTTTTTCTCAAAAAACAAACAAACTATATATATAGTTCTTGTGAAACAAATTTAAAAAATAAAAATAAAGTATAATAGCCCTGGCCAGTGTGGCTCAGTTGGTTTGATTCCTGGCTAGGGTACATGCCTTGGTTTGGGCTTGATCTCTGGTAGGAGACAAGCAGGAGGCAGCAGATCCATGTTTCCTTCTCACATCAAGGTTTCTCTCTCTTCCTCTCCCTTCAATAAAAATAAATTAAAAATCTTTTTAAAAAAAAGTATAACAAAGGCTGATCTTTATATTAATATTATATTAATATTATTACAATAATATTAATACTGCTAAGTTCTGAAAGGTGTAGAAAATTGAACTAAATTTTATTTAAAATGGAAACAATTTATACACTCAGCTACCTTTAATAATTATAATAGAAAATTATTATATTTCACATTAACTTTAAAACATACCTCTTGCAATAGATCTTCCACAGAATGATTGAATCGATCTACAAACTCATCAATCAGCTGGCTTCGAGCTATGTCAACTCTATTCTGGATGGTATACTCTTCACTGCATAAAATGCTATAGGTTTTACTGCAGGCTTCTAGAACATCTGATTCTACATGTTTCTCCACAACAAACTTAATCTGTTTTAATAAAGCATCCAGATGCTGAGGAGGGAAAAAAACATGCAACCATGATAAGTAGATAAAACAAAAATAAGCATGTGCCAAATAACAAATAAGTCTATATGATCACATATAATTAAAATATTCTAGTTAATAAAACTCAATACAATAGCAGAATTTTAATTTCATAGTGTCTTACCTTTTCCATTCTACCTGTGCTATAAATTTCTAGATCAAAATACTGTGGGATTTGTAGCAAGTTTGCTACTTTCTCTGCATCTGCAGAATACTAGAAGGAAGAAAAAATAGAAAAGTAACCACTTTTATAGTGTAATAAGTAAACTCTGTGATATATTAAAAAAATGTAAAAAAGTTGTACCTTTGATAACAACATAGGAAGTGTGATAATAAAATGCTCAGTCAATTTGTTCCTATCGTCGATTTGAGTTTTCCTTTCTTTGGCAGTTAGCACCTAGAAATAAATTCAAATGGGCACAGAGTAAGTGTTATGTACTAATTTATAAATCTACAACATTAGACAGAATGATGAAGCACTAACAGATAATGTAATTGAAAATTTTGAGAGGAACTTTACAAACTATGAAAATAAAGACATCTAGTTTTATGCAAATTTCTAGTCAACATTCACCGGTACTCTATTAATTAGCTCCTTATTTAAGAATCATTAACGTTTAGACAAATTATTCAAATTAAATGAAAACAAAAACATTTCCATAAAACTAGAGTTATGAAGAGAAAAATACTGGAGCCAATGGAAAAATAATTTTTCTAGAGTTTTATTTTTTACTTTTGTTTTTTATTATCTATAAAGTTTTACATGTCTCCTTTTCTCCACTTGACACCCCCACCTCTAATTTTTCTAGAGTTTTAATCTCAATATGTTAACAGTGATCTCCCCTACGTTAAATACATTCTATGTTTTCTGGCATCTAGTTTCTGAAAAGAAATCAACTGCTAATTTATTGCTGTTGCCCTCTCTACCTGAATTTTCTATTGTTACCTTCAAGTTTTGTCTTTGGCTTTCAACAGTGTGACTATACTGTGCCTAGAAGTGGAATATTTTATGTTTATTCTATTAGTTTTGTTAAGCTTCTTTGATATGTACATTACTATTTCTCATTAAATTCATGAAATTTCTGGCAATTATTTCTTCAAATGTTTTTATTTCCTGTCTTTCTTTCTGAGACTTCATTACACAAATCGGATGCATTTATGTTTCACACATTTCTGAGGCTCTGTTCATTTATGTTCAATCATTTTTCCTCTGTTCTTCAGAATGAATAATTGGTTATTAATCCACCTCTATATTGTTTCTTATTTCATTTCAAATCTCTTACTGAGCTGATATAATACATTTTAAAAAACTGGACCTACTGAAAAGCCATTTCTTTTCTTATTTAAAATTTTTTTTTCTTTATTGATTAATGTATTACATAATGTCCTTATTCCCCCATTGCCCCTCCGCCCCCACCTGCTGCTTCCCTCATCCCCCTAGTGTCTGTGTCCATTGGTTAGGCTTATATGCATGCATACAAGTCCTTTGGTTGATTTTCCCTCTTTCTCCCCACCCTCCACTACCTTCCCTGAGCTTTGACAGTCTTATCAATGCTTCTTTGTCTCTGATCTGTTTTTGTTCATCAGTTTGTGTTGTTCATTATATTCCACAAATTAGTGAGATTATGTGATATTTATCTTTCTCTGACTTACTTCACTTAGCATAATGCTCTCCAAGGCCCATCCATGTTGTTGCAAATGATAGGAGTTCCTTCCTTTTTATAGCAGCATAGTATTCCACTGATGCTTTTTACTTTATTTTTTCCAGGATGGGATATATTTAAATATTGATTAAGGTATTACATATGTGTCCTTATCCCCTCATTGTCCTTCCAACCCTCCACTCATGCCCTCACCCCCCTGGTGTCTGTGTCCATTGGTTAGGCTTATCTGCATCCATACAAGTCTTTGGTAGATCTTTCCCTTTTACCCCCATCATACCTTTCCTCTGAGGTTTGACGGTTTGATCAATGCTTCTCTGCCTCTGAATTTGTTTTTGTTCATTAGTTTATATTGTTCATTATATTCCATAAATGAGTGAGATGTGATATCTTTCTCTGACTAGATTATTTATCTTAACATATGCTCTCCAGTTCCATCCATGCTGTTGCAGTTAGTAAAAGATCCTTCATTTTTATCACAGCATAATATTTCATTGTATAGATGTACCCATTTAATCCACTCATCTGCTAATGGGCTCTTAGGCTGTTTCCAAATCTTAGCTATTATAAATTGTGCTGTTATGAACATAGGGGTGCATATATCCTTTCTGATTGGTGTTTCTAATTTCTTGGGATATATTCCTAGAAGTGGGATCACTGGGTCACATGAGAGTTCCATTTTTAGTTTTTTGAGGAAACTCCATACTGTTCTCCACAGTGGCTGCACCAGTCTGCATTCCCACCAGCAGTGCATGAGGGTTTCTTTTTCTCTGCATCTTAGCCAGCACTTGTCATATGTTGATGACAGCCATTCTGACAGGTGTGAGATGGTACCTTCTTATTTTGATTTGCATCTCTTGGAATAGTGACTTGAGCATGTTTTTATATATCTCTTGTTTTCCCCTCTAGTATGGCCACATTTTACTGCTTCTTTGGCTATAATTTTTCTAGAAAAGTAGACTTATCTGGATAATAGACACTATATATTAATTCAATTTTTAAAATTTCATTTAAAAATTAAGTAATCTTTAAATTGTGTAACTATCCTCTCCCATGATGAGTGGCCTCTGCCTGAAATTTTTTTCTTTCTGTTTTTTTTTAGCCTGTCTTCCTAAGAGTCCCCTCTGTTTTTCAACAGATTACTGGTCAATGATTTGGGCAAAGGTTGTGCTCAAATACCTCAAATCTATATGGCCTCTCCCTTATGAGACTTGATCTTTTTGTGGGTATAAGAACATAGTCAAAGTTTGGCTTGACATTTATTTTAGGTCAGGGTCTCTCAGATTTCCCAGTCATCCAAGGATGTGTGGAGAGCTTATCTAATCCTTTTATGGACTTCTCATTTCCAAGATTTTTTTTAGTTAGATTCTTGGCTTGTCCATTGTTCTTATCAACTGTGAACACAACCTCTGAATATCAAATATGTGGGTATTCCTACTTGTTTCTACCAAGTTGCCATTTCTAGCTGACAAAGGGACTTTTCCCACTAGTTCCTTAAAAGCTGTTGGTTTTTGTATACAGTACCACTCTGGTAAAACTACAGATCTCATCAAACTTAAGGGATGTGTGTATACTGTATCTAACACCTGGCAAGAAAATTCTGCTTTTACAGAAGCTTGAGCATTTTTTCAAGAAAAATGTTTCTCATATTGTTGTTGCTATTGTTTTTTAAACTTCAGTGAAGCCCCAGATTCCTGATGTGTGTTTTTTTTTTAAACAATTTTTCCAGTTTTATACTTCTGTTGTTCTTTTGCACAGAGAAATTGTCTACCTCTTCAGATAATCTTCCCATCTGTGATTATCTCAATTTATCTTTAATACCAATAAAACCTGCATTATTAACTCCCATATTACAGCTGAGGAAATAAAGGCACGAAGAACATAACTATTTGAAGATTAGTTGCTAAATGGAAGAGCATACAAACTAGGCAGCTTGCCTTGCACTTTTAACAGATATAGATGCAAAATTTCTTAGAAGCAGCAGGTATAGGGGCTAAAGAAGCATAGAAGGAAAAATCTATTTTTGAAGATGAAATACCACAGCATGTATCATTTACAAAAACATCATGTTTTTAGGGATACATATGCCAATAAAATTTTCAAATACTTAAGATAATTACATCAAAATCTTTTTTATAGATTCATTACTAATATGACTTACTCTCTTGCCAGTACCCCTTCCCACAGGAGGATGTGCCTCAGCAGCTTGACGGATTGTACAAACCATCAGCTCTATTAGCGCGCTCTCTTGACGGTCAGACATTGCTAAGGTGAAACAAAATACATTAGCATGAGATTTATAATAAAAATGCATATAAAATTTAAAACAATTTTTAAAAACTGTGAATATATTCCATTACTGATTATTTTAAACACTGAAGTTCTGTATTTTGTTCTTTTTTGAAGTCAAGCAAGAAATATAGGGTGTCCCCCCCAAAAAAACACTTTGAATAATTATAAAGTCAATATTTATTAAAATACATTTTATTTTCAAAATTGAGCTTCTGGCAGTTTATGTGTATATATATTTTGGGGGGACATTATATATAAAGAAAAAGAGGGTCAATGCTGATTTTTTCTAATACCTAGTATCTTCTATTACTATGCTCCTGAGTTAAGCTGAATTTTACTATATTTCCTTATACATCATTTGAAAGCTCATCTGAGGATGTTTTTGATTTTTAGAGAAGAAAAAAGAGAGTAACATTGCTTGTTGACTCCCGCATGAGCGCCGTGGTTGAGGATCAAACATGCAACTCGGTATATCCCTGACCAAGAATTGAACCTGAAACATTTTGGTGTATGGGTTGATGCTCCAATCAACTGAATCACCCAGTTAAGGCAAGCTGTCTTTTTTTTTTTTTTTTTTTTATTAAATAAAAGAGATCATGCTGCCCTAGCCAGTTTGGTTCAGTGGACAGAGCATTGGCCTACAGATTGATGGGTCCTGGTTTGATTCCGGTCAAGGACATATGCCTGGGTTGTGAGCTCGATCCCTAGTAGGGGCATGCAGGAGGCAGCCAATCAATAATTCTTTCTCATAATTGAGGTTTTTATCTCTCTCTCCCTCTCCCTTCCTCTCTGAAGTCATTAATTAAAAAAAAAGATCATGATATATTACGTATACATTTGATATTAACAATAAAATTTTTTAAAATATTTTTTTATAGATTTCAGAGAGAGGAAGAGGGAGATAGAAACATTGATGAGAGAGAATCACAGATTGGCTACCTCCTGTACACTCACTACTGGGAATCATGCCCAAAATCTGGGCATCTGCCCCTACTGAGAATCGAACCATGCACTTCTGGTTCATGGGTCAATGCTCAACCATTGACACACTCTAGTTGGGCTCAATTAACAATAGATTTTGAATATCTTTCTAGTCACTGCAAAATCATATGAATAATTATCTTTTATAAATCTATAAATTATAATTTGCTCTACAATTTAGTCAACCTTCTCAAATTTATAAATTTTTATAATTATAAACAATGCAGCAATAAATATCAATATTGAAATATTTATGTAACTGATTTCTGCAGAATAAATTCCCAAGAGGATTAGTGGGTCAAAGGTTAAAATCTTGATACTGACAGTTTCTTTATTGCAATTTACTCTTCCAACTATAATACAATCATGAGAATGTTTGGTTCTCAGATCCTTGCCAGCACTGAATGTTATAAAGCCTTTTAATTTTTGCCAATCCAATGATGAAAAATTATTTTATTGTTATTTTGCTCATTAGTCTATTAATTACTGGAGTATATATTCTTACTCATTGATTTTGAGGTTTTTTTCTGAGATTTTTGTTTATTCTTTGCTCATTTTCTACTATTAGTCACCTTAATTTTTCATAAACTCTTGTGTATTAGAAATAGTAACTTTGTTTTTTAAACAATACAAACTTTTTCCTCACAATTTGTCCTTTTCTTGTCAGGCTATAGTATGTTTTATGAGAAAGAGAGTTAACTTTTGCAAAATTATATCTGTACCAATTTGTTTAATAGCTTCTAGGTTTCTTTACATCCTTTCTAGTAATTAAAGATGTAATTGAAATATGGCACTGTATAAGTTTAAGTTGTACAATATAATTTGACATATATTGTGAAATGATTACAGTAAGTTTAGTTAACATTCATCATCTCATACACATACAAAAAGTTTCTGGGTTTCTTGTACTGTTTTTAAAGGTCTCCATGTTCTAGAGATTATAGAAATATATTTTCTTTTTCATTGCCTTCCCTCTCTCCTCCTCCGCCACTGTCCTTCACTTCCTTGTCAACTTTTAATCTTTCTAGAATTTATTTCTGCTGATACTATAAAGTGTGGGCCAGTTTATTACCACCAGATGAAGAGAAAATTATGACTCCAACATTGTTAAACGAACAAGCTTTCCTTGCTGAATTAAATATCACCTTTTGACATATTTTAGGTTCTTATATATACTTAGATCTACTTCTGGATTCTTTTAGTTTCATTAATGTATCTATTTCTATTACAATGCCATACTGTTTTGATTATAGCAGCTTCATAATCCTAGTAGGGGCCCTGTCGATTTGCGCATCTTGAAAACTATGGGCTGTGAGGCTGTGATGGGCACAGGGCAGTCTTGGCCCATTCTCTACACCCTTGCCCGGCCCCTCCTGCCGAGGCCTGGTCCTGTTTGCTGGCAGCCCTGCTCCCACCATCACTGATGCCAGCCCCGCTTGCACCTGCTGACAGCTTTTGGTGCCAGCGCCAGAAACAGGTGTGAGGGGGCTGATGCCTTCAGTGGGTGCGAACAGTGGCTGCTGCGCTGCTTGCACCCTCTGACCAATCTGGGTAGGCATGGGGTATCGGCAGCAGGTGTAAGCAGTGGCTCTGGTGCCAGCAATAGTACATGTGGGGCTGGCACTGGCAGTAGATGCAAGCACCAGGTGGGATGCGGTGCAAGGGAGCAAAGAATTTCCAGTACTCCCAGAGACTCGCCCCGATGACAGCAATTGGCGCCCCAACTTGGTCTGGCACCCCTGCTGACCTGCTCCACCATCCTGCCACAGCCAATGCCCGCCATATTCTGCACGCACCCTCTGGTCAACGCAAATCATAGCAATCGATTGTTCCGCTGTTTGATATATTTGCATATTAGGGTTGTATATAGAGATATAATAAAAGCCTAATATGCAAACTGACTGAATGGCCGAATAACGGGTGAATGACTGGTTGCTAGATGTGCACTGACCACCAGGGGGCAGATGCTCAATGTAGGAGCTGCCCCCAGGCTACCAAAGGTGGGTGTCAGCAGGGTCCCCCGGTCACCCCACAGATGGGGCCTGATCACCGGCCAGGCCAGGGGCCCTACCCGTGCATGAATTTTGTGCATTAGGCTCTAGTATATTATACTTTAATATGTAACTCAATTTGCCCAATTTGAGTATTTAGTAGAACAAGATTCCCTTACCTAGTTCTTTTTCTAAAAATTTTCTAATGCTAATGGCAAATGACTAAGCATTTTCTATGCATAAGACACTGTTAGAAGTGATTTATATGCTTAATCTCTTATATTCTCAAAATAATTCCAAGATAGGAACTAATATCCTCACTCTCCACATATGGGGAAAATGAGCCACACAGAAAATTTAAATAACTTTTCGAAGCACTTAGTAGTAGAATCACATTTATAAACTCATGTAGTCTGACTCCAGAATCCGTGCTCCTAAGCACTGTGCCACACTGCCTTTTAGTTAAAATTCTTTAAATTTAAAAATCATTTTACTTGGTTCCTTTTTACCTCACAGAACTCACAGTAGAATTCAGACTGGTATTTTAAGAAAATTATGCATTATATTCAGAATAGCTGACATTTATATAATCTTTCCAGTCAGAAATATAATTTAGCCCTCTTCATTTTTGAGGTCTTATTTTAGGTCATTTAACAAAACATTATCATTTTATTCACATTGATTCTGTACTTTCCTGTTGCATTCAATCTTATGTATTTTTAAAGATAGATTTTGAGACTAATTTGAATAGTTTAATTTTATCTTTCTGTCTCCCCCCCCCTTCTGTCTCCTTTCCTCTGTGTACTTAACTGTGTTAAAGACCAATAGATGTGAAGATTAGAGTGAGTAGGTATAAACTGAATGAAAAGAAATTAAGACTTATAAATTTAGAAGTTTACACTAATTATTTTAAAATAAATTTTGGCAAGAACAATGAAAAGGCAAACAAAGACATAACATCTTTTCCTTTACTATTTACCAAAATCATCCTATATAAGAATATGTATGCACATCCTAATTCAATCATTTTTTAAAAAAATCTTAACATGAGGATATGTTTTTTATTTTGAGAGGGAGTGAGGGAAAGAAACATCAATCAGTTGCCTCCTGTATGCACTCCGACCTGGAATTGAACAATCAACTTTTTTGGTGTATTATATGATGCTACAACCAATTGAGCCACCCAGCCAGGGCCTAATTTGATCATTTTTGTTTTAAGATTCTATGGCTTTAGGAAAAAACATGAACTTTAGTTTTAGGAAAACACATAAAATAGCTTCAGTTTTTCCATTTATACTCCCTGATCCAATGCCTAATAACATAAAAAAGCTTTTCACTCAATAAAACAACTAAGTTTCTATTTTTATGATTCTAGAATTTCATAACTTTACAATTTGGCTAAGAATAAAAGAATGGCAAGATTGTCTATGAACTAAATGCATTTATTTTTACTTAGGGGAATAATCTAGTTCTATGGAAAGCAAGGAGAGAACAAGTTATCTCATGTATGGAAATTCTAGTATATACTAAACTCCACATTGGTGTTGAAAAACAACACAATTGTACCTAGTGCCCATTAACAACAATTTTGTTATTTACTTTGTTATTTATAATTTGAAACCATCTACTTAGACAAGGTTGGTTGAAATTTAATTGAAGTCCCTTTTGGGATTGACAGCAAAACCAAATAATAAAATTGAAAGCAAAGCCAGGGGGGAAGGGTAAAAGAAGGCAAAGAGAATAGCCAAAGAACATATGACAGACAACAGAGTGGTGAAGTGAGGGGAGGGTGGTGAGGGTGGGAGGAGGTGGACAAAGGGGGATGAGGAAAGCACCTGTAATAATATCAATAATAAAAATTAAAAAAAAAGGCCAAGCAAGCATTAAACCATAGACAAGAACCAAATACAAAACCTGGATTAAATAGGCAGCTGTTTATATTGTAAATCATCAGATAATTATACAATTTTGAAATCTATGGAAACCTCTTTATACATCATTTCTACTTGCCCATTGATTATCACCATGAACTTCTCTTACTACCATTGAAAAGAAGTGCTTAAAAGTCACCAGTGACCTAAATCATCTAGTTCTTTTTCTCCTCTGCAGTATGTGATGTTATTAAGTATAGCTCTCTTGAGTCCTCTCTTAACTGGGTTTCTACAGAGTACAATTATCAGCTATCCTTTTTAGAGCTTGCTAGGGCTCTTATTGCTCTTGGTTTTCCTGTTTCTGTCCCCCATCCATAATCTTTAAAATTCAGCCATGGGCTCTTCCCTTGTACTGCTCCTTTTTTTTTTTTTTTAATACAGTATATCTTTATTGATTTCAGAGAAGGGAGAGATAGAAACATCAATGATGAGAATTATTTATTGGCTGCCTGCTGCATGCCCTCCCACTGGGGTTTAAGTCCACAACCTGGGCATGTGCCCTTGACCGGAATCAAACCCGGGACTCTTCAGTTGCAGGCCGATGCTCTCTCCACTGAGCCAAACCAGCTAGGGTTCTTCCCTTCTTTATAATTCATCTTCTTTTATATTTTTGTTTTTGTTTCCCATAGAAACCACTGCAAAAGATACTTAACTGGTCTTCTGCCTACTCCAAATCATGTTTTCATAAGGCATTTTTCTTAAAATACAAATTGGACCACATCACTCTCCTGTTTAAAATCCTTCAATGGCTCTGATTACACTCAGAATAAACTAAATTAAGTCCCTTCATGAAGACTATATCATCTGGCCTTGGCCTCTTTTTTATTTTGTGCCACTGGCTCACTATGCTTACCACGCCAGCTCCTGGAATGTAAATATCATCAGGCTTCAGATACTCTGCAACTGCTTTTTCCTCTATCTAGACTGCTCTTTTTTTTGGCATTTTTCACAGCAAGCCCCCTCATTCCTGAGATTCTTGTTTCACAGGTGGCCTCCTCAGACAAGTCTTTCTTTCAAGATTCAATCTAAAGATGGACCACTCATTATTACTATTATTCACCTCACTTATAAACTCCTGAAATAGCTCTGTTTACTTTGTTTTGGGTACCTTCCCCACTAGAATGTAAGCCCCATATGGACAGTGAACTAATTTCAGTGCTCAGTATACTAGTTAGTACAGAGAAGACAACCAATAAAAATATTTTAAAATTATAAAGGAGTTAATGATTGCCTGCTTTCAAGAATTGCATTTATCCACATTTACTTCACCCATCAACTGGATTACACAATTTTTTTAATGCTAATCAAAGGGTTGTTTGTTTGTTTGCTTTTAAAATATATTTTTATTGATTTCAGAGAGGAAGGAAGAGGGAGAGAGATAGAAACATCAAAGATGAGAATCATTGGTCAGCTGCCCCCTTCATGTCCCCTACAGGGGATTGATCCCACAACCCGGTCATGTGCCCTTGACCACAAGCAAACTTGGGACAGCAAGACGACACCCTATCCACTGAGCCAAACCAACTAGGGCTTAAATAGATGAAGAAGCTGAAACACAGTGAAGTTAAATGACTTAATTATGGCTTTGCTATTACCTGTTACCCAGACACTCATATTATATTTTTTATCCTAAAATATAGCAAAATATTGGCACAGAAAATTGATTTAGATGCCATTCCATGCCAGAGCTTGTATATGACACAGCACACATTTGGACAAACACTTGAAAAAAGTTGTGTTCTGACATAAATACGACACTGTACTTTTTATACATAACTTCCCCAGCCTTGCCTTCCCAGATTTAGTCATACCCTGAAACTATGATTAACTTAACCCCATTTTATAACTCATTTTTCTAGCTAAAATCAAACCAACAAACCCAAGCCAACTTTTATTTAATTTTCTTGACTGAAAATTAAGTCTAATGCCAACTAAATATAAAACGTAATAATTGATAGTACAGTTATTTTAATGAGATAAATCCATCAAGACCACCTTGATAACTGACAAACTTAGTAATTACTATTTACTGACTTACCCATCTTATTTAAATGTGAGTAAAAAGTTAACAATACCAAAGCATACCCTTAATTTATTCTCCTGCCTTCTTTCTCCTTGGAAATAACCTTATAAAGCATGGGGTGATTAAAAAAAAAAAGTCTTGCAATCACAATAAAAAAGAAGCTCTAACCCACTGATAATGTACAGATTCTCTAGCCACAAGCAAAAGTAGAAAAATGGATAAAACACTATGCTAGATACTTTGTTCAAGTGTTGATTGGGTGGTAGTAATTAGAGGGGAATTGATTTTATTAGAGAATATATTAAGATTTAGTCAGAAATAGAATGAATGAGTAAACTTAGCAGGAATGTATATAGGTAAAAAAGGAAAACACACAGAGTATATGTTTATATTCCTATAATCACAAGCATGAAAGAAATTCAGAGTACAATTAAGTCTGACCTTGTAAGCATAAGGTGATGGCAACTTAGTAATAGGACTATCCTTTTACCAAAGATATGGAGAAGAAAACCCATGCAAATTGAGTAATAATAATAATCAGAGGTAAAGCCAAATGAACCATGACTTCCAACTTGAAAGAAAATCTGGGAAAAGCCTGGGAAGGATTTAAATTTATCAAAGCCAGAGTAGATAATGCCAGTTAGCATGACTACTAGAAAAGAACAGTGGGGGACCCAGCCAGAGTGCCTCAGTTGGTTGAGTGTAATCCTGTGCTCCAAAAGGTTGCTGATTTAGTTCCCAGACAGGGCACATACCTAGTGCTGCGGCACATAAGAAGGCAAAAGATTGATGTTTCTCTTTCTCTCTCTCAGGATGTCCTCAGGTGAGGATTAAAACAAACAAACAAACAAACAAACAAATTAAATGTGTCGATTTTTTTTTTTTTTTTATAGAAAGAACATTGGGGAGATGGTCACTCTCCTGGTGACCCATTTGGTAGTCTACTGCAGGAGATGGTTCATTGTGCTTTTACTTTATTTTATTTTTATTTATTTTTTCATTCCCAGAAGATTTTGAACCATGTAGAACAACAGGGAAAGAAGAAAAGAGAATAGTTTAATTATACTTAATCCTTACAATAATGTAAGATATATAGGGAAAATAATCTCTGTTACAAAGGAACCTAATGGTAAGAAAAAAATGAGGACTCAGTCAAATAAGATAGAGTTAATCTGAATTTATTCATTTTAACTGGGAAGTCTATGTTCATTACAAGCCTCATTTACAGAAAAGTATCACCTACATTGCAGGAATGTTGTATGAATTAAATGAAACAGCAGTTCTTTAAAGCACTATTGTGAGGTAGTTTGAAAAATAAACAGTAAGTATAAAAATGCATTTCTAGTTCTGAGGAATATTCACATAAGCTTTAGGAATATAAATACTTTATTAAATATACATATCCATTTTGCTGTTCATGTTGTTATGTAACATGTAATAAGATATATACTTCAAACTTATCCTATAGCAGTTATACCTCCTTATTTCTTGCACAGCTAGGTAAATGACTTTATTTTTTACTTTCTGGTTTTAATAATTAAGAAAATATAACAGCCGAAACCGGTTTGGCTCAGTGGATAGAGCGTCAGCCTGCAGACTGAAGGGTCCCGGGTTTGATTCTGGTCAAGGGCACGTACCTTGGTTGTGGGCACATCCCCAGTAGGGGGTGTGCAAGAAGCAGCTGATCTATGATTCTCTCTCATCGATGTTTCTAACTCTCTATCCCTCTCTCTCTCTGTAAAAAAAAAAAATCAATAAAATTTATTTTATAAAAAGAAAAAGAAAACATAACAAAGAAGTATGGTTCTAGTTTAATTAAATCCTTTTGTGTCAAAGGCTTTTCCAAGTTCACATACAAATATAGCAAAAAGATCCTGGGTGCCCTACACACCCCTTTTTAAACAATATGTCAGTATTTTGTGTCTCAAATCAGCATAATGGAAACTCCTTTGAATATTATCAGACACGTGGATTTTAAAAAACTTAACCCAGAATGTGTTAAAAGCTATTGGCATATCCTTATTTGTTACAAGAGACAAATTCTTCTTTTTGCAAAAAGACACACAGCTTTCCTGCATACATTCATTTTTAAGATATGAGCTATAGAGAATGGTATTATTATTAATAGATATCATCACAATTTGTAAACCAACTTGTCACAATACTATACCTTCCTCTCCTTGAACAGGTTCTTCTAATAGCAACTCTGTCATACATTCCCAGTCTTTCAACAGTTCTTGAGAGCTCTCCCACAAACTGTCCACCAAGTAGGCTGCATGTTCGTGCAACTAAAAACAACAAATCAAGTGTGACTGAAGAACATTTAATGATGAAACTACTAATAATATTTGAGCTAATAAACCATTTTCTTCATAATTAAAATTACTTTGTTCACAATGTTTCCAATGTATTCCACTATCAGTGGAATGTATTATGTAGACTCAAAATAAAAAAAATTATAGAAGTAAATGACATCATTTATAGACAAGGAAAAAGAGTATGATGAACAGAATCCCTGAAATTATTAACACTTTTCAATATTCTTGGATTGCCTCTTCTATTTTTAAAATTTTATTTATTAAAGGAAGTACATTGCTTTCTCTGAGAATTGTATTTGAAACTTTGGTACCAGCCTAAATACTTACTTTATACCTCTGTCATCTTTGGTTAAGGTCAAAAGTTAAAGTTACTCCATCTCTCTTTTCTACTTTCATGTCCATTTAACTTAATGCACTCCACATTCCACTTCACCCTTCTCCCATTTCTGCTGTTTGTTAATTTTCTTGATATGAAACCACAGTAAACAAACACCAAGTTTCTCACTTAACACTTCATACCAAACCCTCCCCTACTTGTTAGCCATTAAACCATGAAGAAGATTACTCCAATAAAGTACTTTGGGGAAGATAAGCAGAAAAGGTGTTGGCATTGTTCTTGTTTCTGCTGCTTACAATTAACCTGTCTATCCTTGCATAAAAATTATTCCATCTTTGAGGATCATAATATCCAGATAAACCATTTTGTAGATAAGTATTTTCCAAGCTATAGACTGCAACCCATTCATTGTCTGTTAAATTAATTTAATGCATTGAGACCAAAGTTTCAAAAATTGAAACTAAGTAGAAGAGTATTTAGTACATCGAAAGATAAGTACTATTTTATGCTAGAAGATTTGTGCAAGAATGGGCCTTCCTTTCTCTGGCTGCCAGCATTGCCTTTGCTCCGGCCCAGAGCTGTCTTCCCACTTTCCTATGCTGTCCAGAGGCCCAGAGTGTCTGGGACAGTGCAGAACGTCTGTGTTGCATGGCAACTATGCAAGCTTCCTGCCCTGGCTGCTCCACACCTGCGCACGCAAATTAACCCTCCATATTTGTTAGGTTAATTTGCATACTCGCTCCTGATTGGCTTGCGGGCGTCACAAAGATAAGTCAATTTGCATCTTACTCTTTTATTTGTGTAGATAACTCTTATTTCAGTATATGTGCTTGTACTTGGTTTTCTCATGAGTAAGACAACAAAATATAGAGCTTTATAGACCTACTGGTTGTCTATTTGATATCTTGGCACATTTGACATGAGTTGGTTTTCTTCCTCACATGCCAATTCCACTATTATTCTTAACTTCAGTGTGCATGTTGATGACCAATTTAAAGTTCTGCTTCATTTGACCTTCACAATTCTATACTTCATTTCCACTGCATTTCAAATCTCACATTCTGGTTCCTTAAATGCCTCATGACATCCATATCCAGATACCTACACCCACACCCAGCCTCCTGATTAGATGGCAATGACAGGTGTACACTAGTATAACAGAATAAGAAAAGAGATTTTAACAAAGAATGCTTCTTGTGAAACATAGGAGATCATGCAGGGCAATATTATGATCATGAATCAACTTGAAACACTTAAATATGATTTGTAATTGCTTATTGCAGCTGACAAGAATGCCATAGAGGAAAACTAGGAAATATATTTTAACATTTTGTAACACCTTAGTAAACTGCAGTAAAAACAGAATATAGTAATACCATCTGACAATAAAGCAGCAATAAATGTTACAAATTATAGCTTTAAATAAAAAATAAAAGTGCATAAAACTAAGTACTGGAGTTATGCTTTTTAATATATTAGAAAGAAAAAGTCTTTGAGCTTTCAGAGATATAAAACATTTTCCTCAATTAATAATTAACCTAGATAATCATATTCCCTAAACTTTTCAGCAAATAATTTAAATAGTATTTGCATGTACATCCGTATGAATTTTTGAATCTGTTGTTACTATTAAAGTCAAATTTTCATACTGCATTGAATTGCTGCATAATACTTTTAATCTTATTCCTCTAAATCCTAAGGAGGCTAAGAGTATAATTTGAAATGGTCTATCACAAGAGTGTTATTTACTGAGTATTTAATGTTTTATCTTAAACATTCACAATTATTTAGTATTTTACCCACAACATATACTTGCTTTTAAAGAAAACAATGATTTAAACCCTTACTAAAAAGTATGGTTCCTAGACCAGAAGCATAAAAATCACTTAGATAGAAATGAAGCACCTCAGGCCCCACGCCAGAGCTACTGAATCAGAACTGGCATTTTAACAAGACTCCCAGGTAAGTTGTATACATATTTAAAACACTGTTCTTAAATTAAACATATCCATTACTCAAATACAACTCTTCAGTTAGCTTTGTTTCTGACTTTATTCTTGCTATATTCATACCCAATTTACTTTTAAAAATATTGGTAACTCCACTATTTTTTTTGCTTCATTTTGCCCTACTTTCTCTCTATTCCTACAGTTTCTCCAGCACTTTCAAATTTGAGCAGTTAATAAAACCTTTTAAGTTTCTCTCCTTCCAGGACATTCCAATACAAACCAAAAATACTTATCCAAAGCAAAATTAATAGTCCCAAATTTCTAGATTTTCTCCACCTTGTTCCCATTAATTTATAAGCCAGGTAGCTTATTCAGTCAGGTGCTTTTTAGGTTTAGCTTGTCATTCCCCAGCGTAATAATATTAATAGAAAATACAATTGTAATAACAAAAAGCATTGTTAGTGCAAAATCAAAGTTCACTTGTGCAAACAGATTGGAGCTTATAAAATCATTATTACTCAAATATTTTTCTTTCTCATTAAATAATATACTTTCAAACAAAATAGAACAAATGGTTTTAATCCTTGACAACTTTCACAAACTGTTTAAGTAATTTAAAAACTACAGAAAAAAAATTCAAGAAAAACACAAAGCAACAATAAGTATGCAGTATAGCAATACTATAATAGTTTAAAAATAGCTAGTCCATATTCATTGTTGATTCACACCTGCATATCCTATCCTATATAATAAAAGCCCAATATGCTAAGTGTCCAACTATTCATTTGTTCATTTGACCAATCGCTATGACACGTACTGACCACCAGGGGGCAGACATGCACTGACCATAAGGGGGCAGACACTCTAACCAGTAGGTTAGCTTGTTGCTGGGGTCTAGCCAATTGGGACTGGGCGAGATGGGCTGAACATGCCCTGGAGCCCTGCCACGGTCCCTCCCCAGCTGGCCAACCTCCTTAGGTCCCTCCTGGTTGGCCAACCCTGATTGGCCCATTGGACTAAGATGGGCTGAACATACCCTAGAGCCCTCCCGCGTCCTCCTGACCCTGATAGTGCACTGGTGGGGTCCCTTTGGCCTGGTCTGCACCCTCTCACAATCCAGGACTCCTTGGGGGATATCAGAGAGCCGGACTTGGCCCAATCCCTGCAGGCCAGGCTGAGGGACCCCACCAGTACACAAATCTGTGCATCGGGCCTCTAGTATATTTATTAAAGGTAGAATACTGATTTCATAATCAGGCAATCTATGGAGGCAGTTTCATAAGAAACAGGCTTATTTTAATTTGATTGGAAAATATCAATTTGAGACAGCAGAGGGACTTGAGTCCAGGAATGAAAACAGTGGCCAGAAAGCCATGTTAAGATCAAGTGGCCAAAAAGATTAACAAAAAGAAGAAGAATTTTATCTCTTCTATTTACTTTTCTTACTCTGACACGAAAAATTTAAAAAGCCTGTCTTTTCATGTACATCCACTTTGCTCCCAGCTTACAAAATCAGCCACTCACCCTCCCTACAGGCAGTTCAGAGGACCTTCCTTTCCTCTGTCTGTCTCCCTTGTGCTCAAGCATATGCTTAATAAAATAGGTATGAAAGTTACACTGTGGTTTCTCCTTAATTCTTGGGAACCCAAGAACCCAAACGCTGGTACACATTAACTACAAAAAATTTAATGACAATTGTTATTTAATTTGTAATCTAAAACAAAAACAAAATAAGTTATGATAAAAATTTACCTCACTTTCAAGAAAGAAAAGAACCAGCATCCTAATGAGATTCCCATTCGGACTGTTCCGTCCCCTCCTTTTTGCTAAAGCTTCTTCTGCTTGTGGGTCATGTCTGCTAAACAGCCTGGTAATAAGTAACAAAACAAGAACATCACAAATTTATATGGATATAAATTTTAATCCTTTCCTTCACTGTAGAAAAATTATTTTGGTGTGAAAAAAATATATATCAGAGATCAGGTTACTGATTTATTTCAACATATGTAATTGATATTTTTATAGATAAAAGGGGTTAGACTTGAACAGTTTCATACAGTTCAACCATATATAAAGTGTAAAAGGAAGCTTTTTTTACTGATGCCTAATTAATGTTCAAATACTTACAAAAAATAGAAACTATTTTTTTCTTATATGAAAGATATAGAGTATATCATTTTAAAGAGTTCTATTTCCTTAAATATTGATTTCATAGTCAAGTAATTACAGCATTTAACCAAATGTTCCATCAATAATTTAAAAATTGATACTACTTTTAGTCTCTGATTACTTCTTGCATTCTTTTGTACTTATTAGTCTATTACCTAAAACAGTACTCAACTAGCTCAATAACAACATAATATAAATATTAAATTTATAAATATATCACTTAGCAACAAAACTTCTAAAATATGACCAAAAAATGACCTGAAAATTTTTATTTGCTAATAAGACTTATTCTAACAAAGTTTAAAGACTGCCAAAGTTGCCTTATTCCCAGGTATTGCTCCAGTGAACAAAGACAAAACTGCTGCTTTCATTGAGCTCTCACTCCAGTGGATGAAGATAAACAGGCAAATATATAATTTTCTCAGTTGTTATAAGGAAAACGAGGAACTAGGGATGGGGTATGGACTGTCCTAATTTAGATATGGACATCATTAGATTTAGCCAATTAGATGAAGAAAGAATAATTTCAGGGGAGCAATAGGAAGCAGCAGCTTGTCTGGGTCTAACTCCCTGAACCTGTCTCCAAGGCCCCCTTGTTTCTGACTCCCCGAGAGCTAAAGCACTCACAGCTAGGCTCTTCTGCTGGTCTTCCATCTAAACCCTTCCTTGTTTCAACAGTTCCCAGCTCTAATAAACATAGTTTCTCAAAAAAGAATAAAAATTTTCATGTGTCATAAAAATAAATCAATCTCAAGTAGAAAATTAGTACAAAGAAGTTGAATATTTGGGTATGGGAGGAGAGAGTTTATGGCAGAGGGAGAAGATTAGAGTATTATCTTAAGTATATTGGCATAGCTATCATACTGGTTTAAGAGAAAGTTTTCCTTATTTGAGTGGCTTTCAGAGGGGGAACAAATTTAATAACTGCATTCACTGTATATAATAAGAGGTACTAAGAAAGTAGGTAATATTTAAAATATTAAAATGTAGAATTTTTGATGACACTGAAATATTCATTTCAGATTCATTTTACTATTTTTTTTGGATACTTAGTTAAGCTCATAAAATAGACTACAAACAACCATGCATGCATGCATGCATTTTTAAAAAAATTTAATCATGGCCCTGGCCAGATGGCTCAGTTAGTTGGAGTGTTCTCCTGTACATCAAAAGATTGTGGGTTCGATTCTCAGTCAGGACACATGCTAGGCAATCGATGGATGCTTTTCTCTCTCTCTCTTCATCTCTCTCTGAGTGTGTCTCTCTAAAAAAATAGAAACAAAACAAAACAAAAAAAAAACCCCAAAACAATCAATCAATATATTCTCTTGTGAGCATTAAGAAAAAAAAGGAAATCCTGAGGCTACTCTATATTTAAGATTTTAAAGATCACAATACTGAATCATGGGAGAATGCTCAAAATGATCACTAAGAATCAGTAGTTTTCCAAGAAGTTTATGAGATGCTTTTAGCTGAATAGGAATTGGATTCATTTTCATAAATAATAAATATAAGGGAGCTTATAGGTGGGTTTCTATGTAAAATATTCAAATTTTAAAAATTTTAGCAAGTATATAAAATTGAGGAAAATGCCAATACAGATTAAAGGCTCATTCTGGTTCAACTGCTGCCAGTTTATGGTCTCTTATTTTATAGAGAAATAACCTTTTTAGTTTATTTTTTCTTTGAATTAGAGCAATAAAGTCTTTCTAAAAACATAAATCCTCTTGAAAGTTAAATAGAGAACAAAAGCTAACTAGGATATAATAGTCCTGGAAAAAGAAGAGAAGTAAAAACTACAAAATACCCTTAATATTTATCACAAACGATACCTCAAGATAAATATGGAAATAGCACTATTCTATTAGTCAAAGATCAGAGTCACAGGCAAATTCAATATATTAATGTAAAAGCCATGCCAGAAACTCTTGCCTTTCTTCCCCACTTTAATTACCAGCAAACACTAGTACCCAGCTTCTTTTTTAAGGAAAATTTTTTTCGCATGGACACAACTTTGAGAGGTATTACAGAATAGAGAACAGTTTGCTATTGCAGTACTAAGATCCAGATGCTGGATGGAGGCCTGCTCATTATCAAAGTTAATCATCCATGTACAACAGTTGCTCAGTGCAAGATTTTATCTGTGCTTAGCACAGCCACAAGTTACTACATGTATTGGACTTCTGGGTTCATAAGTTACAAAGTTAAATCTATGAATTAAAAAAAAAAAAAAAAAACAAAGTAAACTCATGTAAAAACATGTTTATATTTCACAAACAGATTAATCTACTAATAAATTATAGAGTAGATTTAGATATATTATAGATGTACAGTAGACCACAATAAAAAATGTATCCCAGAAGACTATTTAATTATATTTATAAACTCTCATTAGCTTTACATTTTGTCAAAAAGTAGATAAGGTTTTGCTGTTTAATTAAACTGCAACTGTACATATAATTTTCAGCATCACTATGGATTATCAATTAAAATAATTCTCATCCCAACAGAAAGAAAAAGACATGAAATACTGAGCATTTTAAAGGATATTTTATTTTATTTATTGATTAACTTTTTAGAGACAGGAAGGAATGAGGAGGGAAAGAGAGAAATATAGATTTGTTGTTGTTCCATTTATTTATGCACTTATTGGCTTATTCTTGTCTGTGGCCTAACCAGAGATCAAACCTGCAACTTTGGCATACTGGATGATGCTCTAACCAACTTAGCTATCCAGCTAGGGCCTTGAATGTGAATTTAGATACATTTAGATACAAATGTTGAGAAGGTAAGATGAGAACTCAGAATTTTAAATGGGAAAAAGAAAAAAGGATACAAAACAAAAAAACAACAACACAAAAAAACAAAAGACACTAGTGAAATGAAATATCAATTTCTGAGGGAGCTTTTGCAAATTTCATGCATTTCTTCAATTTTCACTCCCACATCAAAAGGGGAACCATCCTTTTAAATTTCACGGAAAAGGGATGTCACAAAGCACATTGTTCCCAAGGATATGATTCATGATGTGCACAAAGGCTGTGAGGATATTACACTCTCTAAAATTTGAAAGGCTACTTCTAGCACTGTTCTCAGTCACCACTAGTCTCTTCTATGAGCTATAAAATTTTAAAGAAACAAAATACAAAAAAACCTGGTTTCAAAGATAATTAACTCACTTTTTGTGAAGGAATTCTCCAGCTGCAACAGCAACAGGGCGATGTGCTGAGTACACCAAGTGGTAAACATTTTCACAGTCTTCATTGGAAAGAGCTTCTTCACTTCCACTGAAAAATTCAAAATGACATGTCAAAACAAGTGCTTATTTTTAGTCCTAACTTTAAGTTTTGTAAAGTTCATTATAAAAGCTCAAGGCATATGAATTTTATTTTCATCTTTTTAATCTTACTTTGAAAATAATATTTTTTATAACATTACATAAAATTCTAAAAACACAAATAAAACAAGAAAATAAATTGTTCACAATTCTCCTGCACATAACCATCGACAATGACTATTAATATCTTGAAATATATTAGCTCAAATTAGCAAGTTCTTTAAATGTGCATGAGATTTTTGTTGGTAAGATATTTATCCGTTTCATAGAGTGAAATTATTATTATGCTATGTAGCTTATCTCTCCATAAATGCCTATTTTAAATTATATATATTTCTTTTCTTTTTTTATCCTCACCCAAGGATATTTTAAAAATTGATTTTAGAGTGGGAGAGAGAGAAAAAAGACAAAGAGAAACATCGTTGTGAGAGAAACACACCAATTAGTACTTGCCTTCTCATGCACCCTGATCAGGAACTAGGCTGGGGAAGAGCCTGCAACTGAGGTATATGCCCTTGACTGGAATCAAACCCAGGCCTTCGGTCTGCAAGCTGACACTCTATCCACTGAGCCAAACAGGCTAGGACTAAATTTTATTTTATCACCATACTAGAGGCCTGGTGCACAAAAGTTGTGCACTTTGGGAGAGGGGTGTCCCTCAGCCCAGCCTGCACCCTCTCCAATCTGGGAGATGTCTGACTGCCAGTTTAGGTCTGATCCCACAGCAGGACATTCCTCTCACAATCCGGGACTGCTGGCTTCCAACTGCTTGCCTGCCTGCCTGCCTGATTGCCCCTAATTACTTCTGCCTGCCAGCCCGATCACCCCCTAACCACACCCCTGCCAGCTGATCAATCCCTAACTGTTCCCCTGCCGGCCAGATCACCCCCAACTGCCCTCCCTGCTGGCCTGATTGCCCACAGCTGCCCTCTCTTGCCAGCCATCTTAAGATGGCCATCTTGTGCAAGGGTATGATAGTCAATTTGCATTTTACCTCTTTATTATATAGGATTATTATATAGGATTTACATCACTATTTTGTGTTCTTTTTAAATAAAATTGATTTAATGGTCACAACCAATCCTTTATTAACACTAATTCCTACCTTTCTATTCATGTATTCTTAAAGTATGAGCCATTGCTTAGTTTGCTGAATGTGTTCTTAAGTATTTCCTACCCCCCAAAAAGAAAATATACCATAAAAAATACACATAAAAAATCAACTATTTCTTGATTATAAAAATGCTTAAATATGTCTGCTGTCAGTGAAGATTTGAAACCACTAGGTTGAGTATAGAATTCTTGGGCTGTACTGGTTCTTGACATATAGGAGTGTAAGCTCATTACACAGGATTCAATCCTGGACATGCGTCAGAAGCTATGAGGAAATTAAGGTATCTGTCAAATACACATAAAATTACAGTGACCTTTGCCAATGCCCAACTTATACTCCTAAATTATAAGGAGGGGCACAGGTAAGGCCTAAGTTGTCTTATTTTTTGTTTGTTTTTTAAAATATATTTTTTTATTGATTCAAGAGAGAGGAAGAGAGAGATGAAAACACTGATGGGCTACCCCATCAGGTATTGAGCCCGCAAGCTGGCATATGCCCTGATTGGGAATCAAATGTGCCACCTCTTGGTTCCTGGGATGACTCTCAATCAACTGAACCACATCACCGGGCACTAAGGCCTAAGTTTTAACCCCTTAACCCTATTATGTATCATCAGCTTTTAGCTAATAACCTCAGGAAAAAGTTAAACTCATAGGAATAAAAATTTTATAAGACATCTCAGGACCCTAAGGCTCACACATGAAAGGAAAGTAAAAATATACTAAAAGAAGTAGAATTACCAAACAGAAAAATAATTTAGAGAAGATATAATAATATATTAAATTTGACTTTACCTGTTGTTTTTGGAAGAAGATATATCATAAGCCCCCATAAATAAATAAATAAATAAATAAATAAATAAATAAATAAATAAATAAATAAGGCCAGATTATGTCATGCAAATGTTGTAAGAGATGGGAAAGCTGATTTTGTTATCCTTAGCTCATTACTTACCAAAATACTATGTAAATAAAAATCAGAGGATTAAGCATTATAATGGGTGGAGAGAATTTCTTTCAGAAGAAATATGCCAGAAACCTTCTCAAGCCAAACTGGAAAATGTTCACTATGAAACATTTATAAGCATTCCTTAGAATTGTGAGAAAATTTAAGAAATGATACTTTGTGCAGAAAAGGCCTAAATGTGAAAAGTTGACTAAGCAACTTATCGTAGCAGATTGATTATAAAGCTACCATAAAACAGAGTATGATACTAGATTAGAAAGAGAAAAAAAAAAAATACATGAAAACAATAGACCCTACCATAGTTGGTATTGGGAGATGATAGATGTGGCATCACAAGGTAGGAGAGGATTTTTAATGGCTTTGCTAGGATCTACATTCTCTCACATACATTTTTCCTAACTTTCAGTTAAAGCTCTGTAAATACAATTATTAAATATCTAGCATAATAATGATACAATTTAAATGCCTTATTTTCTTTCTCCTACTTTTATACCATTCCAAAGAAGCCTATTTGAAAATCCTATCTCTTTTGAAGCCTTCTTTTTTTAAAAGAGAAAGTTCTGTTTCTTCATTGATATATCCTACATAAAAAAAACTGTAACATGAATGAAACAGTCAAAATAAAAAATAAAGTAAAAAAGAGAAAAACAGAAAACTTTTTTTTCAAACCTAAACTTAAAATATAAAAGTAGAACCTATAGTGATCAAGTACAGGGTAGGGCAAAAGTAGGTTTACAGTTGCGAATACATGAAACACAGAACTTACTTTTATATTATTAAATCTACTTTTGCCCCACCCTGTATATTAGGGTTATACTAGTATATGTGAAATATATCAATAATGCTGGGGAAAGGACATTACAATATTAGTGATTAGGATTTTAATTACACTTACTGAAGTATCAGAGTAACCAATCGAATAGCTTCCACAGCAACATCATATTCCTTATCAAGTGTCATTGATACAATGCGATCCTGAAAATGAATTACAAATTAAATCATCCATGAGCAGAAAACGGTTGGGACAAACCTAAGAAAATATCTTTGGGACGATATATGCAAGACTAAAGATAAATTAAAAGGAAAACTTTAATCTTAAAACAGTATTATCGTACTCCTACTCACAAAAAGGAGATATTAGAATAAATGTTCATAATCTAAAATCTTTCTCATTGACTGGCATCTCCTAACACTGAGAAAAATAAATGTTAATTTGCAAAATTAATATAATTATATAAATCTGCAATAAGTAAAATCTTGTTTTAAGCAGGAGAGCCTTTTATTGGTGGCAATAAATAAGCATTCATGTGGTAATATACTTTGTACAGCAAATATCTATTTAAAACGGATTTATCTAAAGAATATGTAGTAAAGGATATAAATTAAATACTTTTTATGGCAATGTAATTTGCTAAACTAGCTATAACAAGCATTTTTAAAGTAAAAAATAAATTAAGTCTAAGCATTCTTGATGCTTACCTTGAATCGGTTTGTGAATAGCTCCAATTTGGGGAATAATTCTCTGTTAGTATATAGACTCTGTAGAGCTTTCAAACACTTTAACCTGACTTCTCCTTGCTATAGAAATACAAATAAAAACAACAACAACAACAGAAGCCATCAATGGAACCAAAATGATTGAAAAGATTTTCTAGTCTTTATGAAGACTGAATTTTTAGCTTAACCATTCTATTTACTTCATGTTGTAAAACAACACAGGGTTGAACTGACAATTTTATAGTCTGTGTTTCACTCATATTTAATAAAAAATGCAATGAAAACCCCTTAGTTACTTGAGAGTATACTACACCCTTTTCAAACATTTACCAACTCTGATTCAACATGGAATATTATACTCTGGCACTTTGAAAGAATTTTTAACCTAGAATTTCAATTAGAGAAGGGCACCCTAATTTGTCCTTCATGTAACTGACTAATCCTTTAGAAAAAAACTTAATTTCATATTTAAGGGTCATCATTTATTAATTTAATAAATATTTATGGAATACCTTTTATATTCCAGAAAGACCGGTTGGCAAACAGATTAACAGCAGAATGTTTATAACAGAAAAATAAAAGAATAAAGTGTTCTGGGGCTGCTGTTTACTAGTACATTATATATAACTAGAGGCTTGGTGCACAAATTTGTACATGGACGGGGTCTGGCTGGCCTTCCCTGATGGGGGCCCATCAGAGCCGGGCCGGTGGGGGGAGAGGGGCTGCAGAAGGTTTGCCGGCCGGCCCTTCCCCTGTTCAAGGTGTCGGGGACAGATGGGGGCCTGGATCAGGCTGGTTGGCTGCCACAGTGCACATCAAAGCCACCAGTCATTCCACCGTTCTGGTTGCTGGGCTTTTATATATATATATAAATTTATTTACCTGGAGTAGATATTGGTGACCAAAGTGTGTTCAGAATCATCTAAAAATTTATCTAAACTCTTTCAAAGGATTCAAAGAAGATGCAAGTTTCTACTTTTCAAAAAATAAGCAATGTATTGTAACAGTAGGTATCCAAATTTTGGAATCAGACAAAGCAAGATTTTATTCCCAATTCTATAGTTTATAAGCTACATGAGAGATAGCAAGTATATTAATCACTTTAATAGTTTTCTCACTTATGAAATGGTGATGCCAACTTTGTAAGACTGTTATAAGGATTAAATGCTATGGTATCCCAGGCTGGTGTCACTTAGTGGTTAGAGTGTAGCCTGCATACTGAAGGGTTTCTGGTTGATTCCTGGTGAGGGCATATGTTTAGATTGCAGACTCAATTCCTGGTGGGAGGTGTACAGGAGGCAGCTGATAGATGTTCCCCTCTCACATCAATAGATCTCTGTCTTTCCCCTCCTCTCTTTAAAAAAAAAAAAAAAATCAATAAAAAAATATGAAAAGAATACCTGGGAGGATGTAGCTGAGAACCTTAAACTCCAAGCTTCTCAGGAAATTGTAGGCCTGAAATTAAAGCTCACTTATTTCTTGTTAGAGGATAGTAGCCCCCCACGCCTGGCTATACGAAAGCCTTAAGTGAAGTAAGTGCCGTTAAGAACAATGCGTATAGCTCTCCTCATGATCTACAGCAACCTCCCCTTGTGGCCACCAGGTTAACATCAAATCTCAGCATGGCCCAAGTGAAAAGTAATATGTCAATGAAGGGAGGAGAAGGATTATCTATAATAATAAATATGCAAATTGACCTAACAGCTGAACAGTGGAAAGACCATTTGGACAACCTTCTGGACAACCTTCTGGATCCAGGGCTGTGTGGGCCGAGATAGCCAGGGCTGCAAGGGTCTACCCTTGCATTAATTTCATGCATCAGGCCTCTAGTATGCTATAAGTGCTAACGGAATGGGCCAATTTAACAAGAATGAACTATAAAAACATGGTAGAGAGTAGTTGCTGAGGGTACTGGACCTGGGAGTAGGAATAAAAAACAGGAAAGTTGCCAAAACTGGTTTGGCTCAGGGGATAGAGCCTGGGCCTGGGGACTGAAAGGTCCCAGGTTCAATTCCGGTCAAGGGCATGTACCTTGGTTGCGGGCACATCCCCAATGGGGAGTGTGCAGGAGGCAGCTGATTGATGTTTCTCTCTCATTGATGTTTCTAACTCTCTCTCTATATATATCTATCTCTCTCTTCCTCTCTGTAAAAAACAGGAAAGTTTTTGGATCTGGGACAATCTCCCTTGACTCAGGATTTAAGGCTCTGTTATGGGTCCCTGGAAATGGCCCAACATATTGCTGGATAGCTCTTGGAAAATGTAACGGTGCATATTAAATAAAACAGATGCTAAAATTGTATGCCAGACTGTGAAAAAGGGAATTCAAAGACACGGAAGTAAGCATGCCAGAAAGGACCTGTATATAAGCCCAAAAGACATACCAGTTGAGTATGTTTCTCAGGAGGGCCTAGAGAATACTTTGTTTACTAAGGGAAAAAGGACAAGTCTTGTGATAGAGGCACAGATATTACTGAGAATCTCGACAATGGTTATGTTTTATAGGCTAGGGCTGACAATAGGAGATTTTCAAACAGAATTTAGCTTCCAAGAGCCAAGAGATAATATCACAGAACAGCAGAGAACTATTAGATGCAAGGGGGGGAGGGGGGAGGCAATAATTCAGGAATGGGAAAAAGTAGGTTTATAGTAACAATGCAAATAAATAACACAGCCAAAACATGGCATATTGTTCAATAAAAGTATGCTGGGGAAGAGGACATTATTCTGTTAATTTAAGACTTAATGCAAGCAGTGGTGCTTGATAACTACTCTATCAAAATTTAAAAGTCCGTCTTCTCACTCAGGAAGGCCTCCAGAACTTGGAGGTTGACAGATTATCACAGGTTAAACATGAAAGTTCCAGCTCTGGATCCAGCAGTCCTTGATATTATAACTGTCACTGAAACAGTGGCAACCCAAATGGAAAGTAGTACACTGTTACTGATCTGGCTGATCCCGTTGGAGGATAAAGATCAGGACCAATTTGCATTCACACAGACTGGCCTGTAACATATTTTTACTATTAAAGGCCCAGTGCACAAATTTTTTCACTGGTGGGATCTGGCTGGTCCACCCCAATGAGGTCCATTGGGCAGGGCTGGTGTGGGGGAGGAGTCAAGGGTGGTTGGCCAGCTGGCCCCACCCATGATTCAGGTATTGGGGGCCAACCAGGGCCCGGATCAGGTTCGTTGGCTGCCGCAGTGTGCGTCATAGCCACAGTCATTCTGGTCACTGGACTTTTATATTAGATAGTTCTGTAGGGATACCCAATTTCCTCTGCAATATACCACCAGTGGGTGGGGCTTGGTCTTCAACAAGCTCAAGGCCCCACAGAAATTTTAGTTACTCATTACGTTAATAACATCCTGATAGCAAGGCCAACCACAGTGTTGTGCTTAATCACTGAAGGAATGATTAGCACCAATTTGAATATAAATCCAGATAAAGTCCAGGGACTGGCACACCAGATGCAATTCCTAGAAGCCATTTGGCAGGGAGCCAAAAAAGTATTTTAGAGATGATCAAACAAAAACTGTAGGCCACGGAAGCTCCCACCAATAAAGAGGAGGCCTTACAGCTAGTGAGCCTCTTTCTGTAATTAAAACAGCATGTATCTCACCTGGGTGCTCTCTTGGCCTCTTTAATCAAGGTGACCTGAAAAGCAGTCAGTTTTAAATAAGTCTCTTTGCAGCAGCAGGCCTTGGAAGCTGTCTAACCAACCGTGGTCCAAGCACAGCCTTTGGGACCTTTAAGCCTATTCTTCTGATGGAACTTTCGGTTTCCATAACATGCCCTCCCACTCCCTCTCTTCCTCCCTCCCGCCCACTCGCCCGCCAAACACTTATTAAAAAGCAGGAAACTGCCACTGGAGGTGCACTGGCTTCTTAGATTCTGGACCCACAAACTTCTATAAGCCTCTACCCAGTACATTTCTTTTGAATGACATTTCCTTGTTTGCTATTGGACACTGGTGGAGATGGAGCACTTTATGGATGGAGTGCCAGATATGATACTACAATTGTACTGCCCATTCTCACGTGGGTTATTAGGAAGCCTACCAATAAAACTGGAAAAACTCAACAGGACTTGATCATAAAAGGGAAACAGAACATCTAAGATTGGGCCAGCCAGAATCTCAAGGGATCAGCTGGTTCCATAAGGAAAAAGCCACTTATTAGAAAGGCCCAAAGAATCCACAGGAAATGCTTTCACTTTTCCTGAGAATATCTGGGGCCCAGGAGTCAAAGACATGTCTGCTGAAAGACATGGCGTGGTTTATGGACAGCTCTGTGCAACTCAAGGCAGATGGGGTCTAATAAATGGCAGCCATCATCGGGCCATCTTTTGACTGTAACCAGATGTGGATATTTCAACTAATGGGCCAAGCTCCAAAATGTGGTGATGGTGGTGCAGACCACCCCAATATGCCTTGATACATTTTCACCAACTCACGGCTTTTGCCAATGGCTCTGGTGAGGAGAATGGCAGCTAAAATTAAACAATTAAGGTATCCTCCACATAGGAAAAAACTATGGTAGCACCTTACTGCCTAGGCAGAAAAAAAGTATGTCATTCATGTAGATACTCATGGAAAATGCCTTAAAAAGAACAACACATGCATGGATCTCTTGTAATTGTTGTACTCAAGTCATCCAGAAAGGAGAATTAGGACACATTTAACGAAGGGTCTGGCAGATTTACATTGAACTTCTTACCCCCTACCTTGGGCACAGGTGATGCCTCACTAAGCATTAACAATTAATCAGAAGACCGGTTTGGCTCAATGGATAGAGCGTCGGCTTGGGGACTAAAGGGTCCCAGGTTCGATTCTGGTCAAGGGCATGTACCTTGGTTGTGGCATATCCCCAGTAGGGGGTGTGCAAGAGGCAACTGATCAACGACTCTCTCTCATTAATGTTTCTAACTCTCTATCTCTCTCCCTTCCTCTCTGTACAAAATCAATAAAATATATATTTTAAAAAAAAATTAATCAGGCTATAATATTCCTATTCTGGTCATATTTTTGGGAGATCCCATGGACTTCACTCTGACTAAGCAACATCCTTCACTCTTCAAAC